GAAACCCAAGGAGGGGTCGCTATGAGTCAGGTTTGACTCGACGGCACATAATAACAACAACATTACAGATATAAAACCAGAAAACCAAACTCACTGCCATCAAGTCAGTTCCAACTCATAGTGAGCCCCTATGGGTTTCCAAGGGAGTACATCTTTACAGAAATAGATTGGCCCATCTTCCTTCTGCAGTGACTAGTGGGTTTGAACCACCAACCTTCTTGTTAGCAGTCAAATAGCCTTAGGCATTGTATCATTAGCACTCGTTATATATACAGCCCTCTCAAAAGAAAGGACTGATACTATTTATCGGACTATCATCTTAGGCTTTCAGTTCATGAATTACTTCTTTAACATTACTATACAAAAAGCTAACAATTCATCAATATGATCCATATTTTACAGATCTATCTAAACACACACAAACACACACATATATATTTCTGCCAATCAAAAGAGGAAAAACTCAGTAGGTTTTTTTTTTTTTTTTAATGTTTAAAAAGCATCTCTTAAAAACAAGATCCAAGAAATCCAGAATATTTTTCTTCTTTTAAAAGAACATCTTTCACTTCCAAGTTGTAAGTAGGAAAACAAACCCAGTCTCACCCTGTTGCGATGCAGGAATAAGGACCTGCTGGGTCTGTGTTTGCTGTGGCACTGTCTGCTGTGGTGGAGCTTGTTGGTGGTGGTGGTGGTGGTGGTGCTGCTGCTGCTGGGGTTGATGCTGCTGTTGGACTTGCAGTAAAAGCTGCTGCTCTTCAGAATGAAATCCATCTACTGCCCTGGACTGCATTAGCTTGTTCTCCCACAACTAAGGAAAAGGACATTAAATATTTCCAAGTGAGTTGGAGAAGATGACTCCAGACATATGACACAGGACAAAACATATTTCCTTATTATTCTTCTTTATGTTTATAAAATTCTTCCGTTTTTCAAAACTAGTCCAGGCAGAAAAAAAAAAAAAAATCAATCTCTTCTAATTCTTATCCAACTGTAAACCATAACAAAAATGAATTTTTAAAGTATCAAACTTTATATTTTGCTACTTTAGAATGCTGAAGAAAATGTTAATTTGCTTGTTTTCATATCAAATTTTCTACAGTAACTCGTTAATCATAAGGCATTATTCAGCAGAGTTTTTGCTAAATATAGGGTTTTTTTAAAATAATCAAAGATTATTCTTTTAACATCAACTTAATAGACTACTTTTATGGAAATCTTTCCTTAATACAAATTTTATTGCCTTTAATATATAAATCAAACCAACTGCCAGCATGTCAATTCTAACTTGATAGCAACCCTATAAAACAGAGTAGAACTGCCTCACAAGGTTTCCTAAGCTATAAATCTTTATGGAAAAGCAGACTGCCACATCTTTCTCCTATGCAGTGGCTGATGGGGTTCAAACCACTATCCTTTCAGTTAGCAGTTATGTGCTTAACCACTGTGCCACTAAACCAAAAAACCCAAACTCACTGCCATCAAGTTGATTCCTGCTCATAGCGACCCCCTTTGGGATTCCAAGTTGGTAAATCTTTATAAATACAGATTGCCCAGTCTTCCTTCCATGGAGCGGCTGGTGGGTTTGAACTGCCAATCTTCTAGTAAGCAGTCAATGCCTTAGGCACTACGTCACCAAAAAAAATCAAAAAACAAAAAACTCACTGCTGTCCAGTCAATTCTGACTCCTAGCAACCCCTCTTTGGGATTCCAAGGTGGGATCCCTAAGGAAACAGACTTCCCAATCGCCCTTCCAAGGAGTGGCTGGTGTGTTTTAACTGCCAGCCTTCTGATTAGCAGTCAAATGCCTTAGGCACTATACCACCAGACATACACAACAGAAATCCACCTTTTCTTGAATAGAACAGTGAGGAATATTATAGAAGCAGTCCTCTAGTTTTAAGCCTAGCTTTTCACATTTTCATATCTCAATCCTATGCAGAAATATGAAACAGCAATGTCTCTCTAAGAGGCTTCCCCAGCCTTCCCAATTTCCTGGAGTTTTCCTCCTTCTACCATTATACCAAGGATTGGCAATCCCCTTTTATTGCTTAACTACCCCCTTCCCCATTTTTTCACATTACCCTAAGATACTTCGATGATGGGAAAAAATCAGGAGCAGACACAAGGAAAAAGGTTAAGAAAGTATTTGCCAATATTTCATCCTTCTCACTAAAGCATTTCCTCTCTACAAGGTTTAGTTGTGGATCTAGAGCCTCAGGCCTATAAGAAAATTGTCCAATAAAGTCACAAAAGCATCCCGTGAAAATACAAATGAAGGGAGTTCCGGCAAGATGGCGAACTAGGCACAAGGACTGCACAGACGTTCTTCAACAAAGAAAAGGGAAACCAATTAACATAGACACAGAAGATAATCTTGGACCCCT